GAGGAAACTATTCCCATGGGGTTTTAGCAGTTGGCGCAGGTTGTTAGCAATATTAGCATCAGTGCAGAAGATGCACTCTCACTGGAAAAGATCAAAATCTAGATAAGTCATTTTTTCTTGAATTTAGAAGGTAAGGCAGACACTTTGCCAGTGGAACAAGATAATTTACATTTAGAATAAGAAAAAAACAATTTTATTGTCTTGTTTCAAGTGTATGTTATCTAATTACCTTATTTTAAGAGTAAAGGTCCTCATTGCATTGGTAAATACACTTAATTTAAGACATTTTAACTTATTTATACGTCATTTTTGCAGTGCTGTGACCTGCATGAATAAATCTTCTATCGCTATTTGTTGGTCTGTCTAATATCGGTTGGGAAAATTATAGATATGGTATTGATATAAAGTGTTTATGAGGTAGTAAATTATTTGCATTTCTCATGATTATTACTGAGCAGGCCCTGATCCAAAACTATAAACCGGTCCTAACAGATTTATTTATTTTGGGTTGTTTGGTGATTTTTTAACTGCAGCAGCATTAACTCTGCCTGCTTAAATCAATTCTATATGATTCACCCACAGTTTTATCCAATCAACCATAATAATCTATCCACAGTATTTCTACTGTATAATCTAAATGCATTTTTTAAAGAACTTCACTGTATATAAGGAAACACACCTAATAAATAAGAACATTTCTCTTTTTTTTTTTCTTTTTTTTTTTATAAAACACGCTTGTGGAAAGAGGCTGCGTTGTTTCTAATTTGGTCAGGATGCATGAGGTGCATCCACTGCAGCACCTAGAGGTCCAGGCTGGAGGTTAACGACCATGATGGGACAAACATCCTGCTGTGAAATGCCGAAATGCTCAAGAAAGTTTTTGAAGTTAATATTTTGAGCTCCAATATAAACTTGGGTTAACAAAATATGAATGTCACGGATAGGGACCCATTTTGAAATGTTTTGTCCAGGCTAAAAGATGTCTGCTGGCCTGCTTATGTGTATCTGTGCTCATGAACACAGATCAAGTTAGAGTGAAAGCCATTTATTTTCTGTTTGTCTTGTTTTTAGGGAACCATGGTTTTGGCTGCACTGAACTCTGTCCTCCACGATGAGTCGCAATGGGAGACCCCACATTCCTTTAATCCTCAACACTTTCTGGATCAGGATGGTAAATTTAGGAAGAGGGACGCCTTCCTGCCTTTTTCTACAGGTCAGTCTCATTTTCAGGTTCCTTTAAAAGTTTGCATGTTTGCTTGCATTCAGTTGGACTCTTAAAGGAGAAGTCCAGGCAGCAAGGAATAATTAGTGGATCATTATTTATACCTAAAACTAATACATTTGCAGTGTTTTAATTAATTTAGCGTTAATCAGTGAAATCATTTTTGTTGCGACCACTGATTCTGGGAGCGTCCATTTTGCCTAAATATAGTAGCCCCTCCCTGCTGCCATCTTCCGGCAGTAACGTCACAGTGCGGTAAGCCTAGCGCCATTCTCCCCGCTTTACAAGCAAAATCAATGGGAACTACTAGACCAGGGGTCACCAACATGGTGCCCGGGGGCACCAAGGGGCCCTCAAGGACCACAAGGAGTGCCCTTAGAGTCTTCTGAAAATAGAACAACTCAACAGTGAGCTACATTTGAAATTCCATTGTATTCTGTTGCTCCTCTTTTTTTAATCAGTTATAGATCATTTCATCATTTAATCATATATGGCATTTAAGCATTTATAGAGATTTCAAAATGAAAATGTCTAAAAGAAAATTAGAAATTTAAAGAAACGATAAAGATATGTTTATAATGTATGAAGTTTAGGTGAACGTTGACCCTTGCAATTCATAGGTCAGTATTGGTATCCCTTCCTGTGACTCAGTGCCCCTGAATTAGCCCTCAACTGTTAAAAGGTTGGTGACCACTGTACTAGACACATCTGCAATCAACATCAATTATTGAAGATTTCCAGAGGACTTCACCATTGAAATTCACCAGAGCTATAGTGAAGTATAGTTGAATTAACATAAAACACCAACACTGGAAATTTAACACATTTGATTTTACTGTGTGCTAAATTTAATTGTAAAAGCATGTTATATGATTAGGCTTTGAGCAAAGTAAGACCTAAGCTGGTATACTGATCATTTTTGAAATGACAAAAAAAGATAGATTTTTTTTTCTCCTAATTATAGCTACTTATATACAGAAATTATAAAAAGAGAGAAGGAGACTTTAGGTGTTGGAAAGAAAACACCAGCAAGCCTGAAATAGTGCAACAAAGTGATTTTTTAACAGAACAAAAATTAACAATCAAAACAGTTAAATTCTCAAAATGTAAAATAAAGTATAATAACTATGTTAAAGGAAGCTTATATTTAGTCAAAGTTTTAGCACATTAGGGTTAGCATTTTTGAGGATTATGTGTGGCTGCAATTGTCACCTGAAGCAGTTTGTGTCAGGCTTTTTTTTCAGTATACAATAAGATATTTGCTTTTTCTATCTAATTTCTAATTTATAGAATGTAATTAAAATATATATATATATATATATATAAACTAAAGACTAAACTAAAAACAAAACTTAAGAGCTACAGTTAAAACTGTTTTTATTTTAAGCCATTTTTTTATAATTAAAAAACTGTGTAGAAAGTACTAATAAAGTTAAACACTGACATAAATCTAAATTTAAAATGTAAAAAAAAAAAAACTCCAACTACTTTTTCAGGTAAAAAGGTTATGCTAAATTTGTAATGATTGTTGACCAATCCTTCAATGAAGCATAGATGGTAGCAATATTTTATGTAACTGCGCTCTTTTCTTGAAGACATTAAACATTTTATTTTTAAGTCTGAATATTTGAACTTTTATCAGCAAATTATGTTTTTGTGACTTTTTAATCACAATTCTTAAATTTAGCTTTTTTAATTTGATTTTTGAAATTGTGACTTTGAGGATATATTTTGCAGATAATCCTCAAAATTGATCTTTTTATGCTCAAGTGAACCTGATTCTGTTTTGAAATAGAAATGTTCATACAGGCCTCCTAATGGCTACTACCATCTTTCTTTACAAAGTATCATTGTAGCAAAATATAACAGTATGTTGAATGGTGTACTTTTAGGTAAGCGAGTGTGTCTCGGAGAGCAGCTAGCCAGGATGGAGTTGTTCCTCTTCTTCACCTGCCTCCTTCAGAGGTTTAAGCTGTCGTATCCTGCAGGAGAGCAGCCCAGTCTGGAGTTCACGATGGGAGGAACACGCGCACCCAAACCTTACCGACTCTGTGTCGTACCACGTTAAAGGCTGGTTTATGCTCAGCAACCAGGTCATCTGCTTGTGTGTCGCAGTTTACGCTGATATGCACCCCTCCATTCTGCAGACATTCTGGTGAAGACATTCTCCAAAATTGTAGGTGACCGCAGACAGGAGGCCTCTGATTGGTCAAATCTACATCCGCTGTACACTATGCGGATTTCCTGTTTGTTACCTTAATGGCTGACCGCCTTTGTGGAAAACGACTCGTGAAGTTAGACCAGCTAGAAGAGCGAGGTGCTAGGTACCTTTTTTCTAACTCTTTTTCGCCCTCATGTCCCTCCGTTGTTGCACAAACTCGCCCCTACTTCCTCACTGCCTCGGTCGTATCTAGACCCACAGCTAGTTGGTGATTGCCCCTGTTGCATTGTGGCGTGGAATAACATGGCGCAGACCACGCTTTAATATTGGGCATAAATCAGAAATATTTGCGTCATACCTGTGACAAGCTAACTGCGACACACTGCCGTATAACCAACCTTTAGGCCATAGAAAATAAATATCACATGCAAACTTGGTGTGAGGGATGAGTTAATGAGTCGATGCAATCAACTGGTTTTCCTTAGATTGAAAACTTTGAATCCATCTGACTGTATGATCTGGTTGAATCGTCTCTATAAAGATGAGACGACGTGGTGTGAATTGGGGCTGTATGATAAACTGAATTTAATTCTGTTGAATAGAAAATGAGTACAAATCAATTACATTATTCTGTAATAGTTGCCTTATTGTAATTCTTACCTTTTTTAATGCAATGATTACTGGGAGGCTGGTGAAAATTAGCCTGTTTTTGGACAGAAAATAAAATTTGCCTAACTTTACAGAAGAAGAAGTGTATTTAGGACAGTTAAAGTAATATACGTTAATTTGAATGTTTTTTTTTATCTTATACTTTTTCTTTGATTTTATGCTGATTATGTTGTATGTTACCTACTGAGTTGACATGATATGAGCTTTCATTATGTTCTGCAACAATAAATAATCTTGAATTCCTCCTTAAGCTTCCATTTATTTATCATGTTGAAGTAAGAATTTATTATAATTTTTTTTTTTAAACATGTTTTTTATTACTGCAAAATGAATGTGCTCAGTTAGTAGCTAATTTAGATTTGTCTGGTGTCTTTAATGCAGCTCCTTCTGACACTTGTGTTAAACCTGTTTTCATGTTGTGTTGGGATGGTACGTTGTGATGATATTTTGATTACTGTAAAGATGGGGTTTTATCTATTTATGTATTTTATTTTATTTTTTATTTCTTTTTTTTTAATGAGTTTTTTCCTCTCAAAGAGTTGGTTAAATATGATCATTATTGTGGATACTACAGTGGCTGCTGTCTCAGTCCTGGTGGCTGCTGGGCCAAGGCCTGCTGGCACTGTGGGGTCCCCACTAGGGGGCAGTCCGGCTTCGGGCCTCAGGCCCCTGGGTCTCATGCAGGGTTTTTTTATGCTTACTTTGGTTGTCTGTAGTCTCCTTTTTGCTGTTATGTTCTCTGCTCCTCTCATCTCATACAGGTATGGAAGTAGACTTGTAGGAGTTACTGCATATCTTCTGTGTTTATTTTTGCTGTTTTGTTTTTTTCCTCTTCATGCACTCTTTCCTGTATCTATCTCTCTCTCCCCTTAGTTCTTAACCAAAGTCCAAAAACATGACTGTTAGGTTAATTGGCTTCTCTAAATTCTACTTAGGTGTGTGTGTGTGTGTGAATGGTAGTTTGTCCTGTTTGTCTCTGTGTTGCCCTGTGATGTACTGGCAACCTGTCCAGGGTGCCTCGCCTCTCGCCTATAAACAGTTGGAGCTAGACACCAGCTGATGTGGATTTATTCTGTATTTTCTTTTGAAGATATAGAATTGTTCAGAGGTTAACACACTCTTATTTTTTCTAAATGCTCTTTTTGTATCATAAAGCAAAGTCAAATAATACATTCAAGGGACGGCAAATAAATGTACTTTATTTACATGTGCATATGTGCATACGAGTTTTTCCCACCAGACGTATACCAAAAACCAATCAAACCTATACTAGGTGATCACAATGGTAAATTAAAAGAATGCCAAGAACAAAAACACTGTAAAAACACTTTATCAAACGTACAGGTTTACTTTTTGCACTTTTATATTGCCCTTCTGAGGCTTTGTAAAGGAAAATTAGAGATTTGCATGATCCAATATGGTGTCACAACCCTAAAAAAATAATATAATAAATAGTAAAATAATAATGGAGAAGCTATTTCAATCTGAAAAACTCACATGAAGAGAAAAGACAATTAGGAGAAATTTATTGATACAATTACTCCCAGACCTCGGCAGGAAACCAAGCGCTTAATTTTGATAAATATGCATGGATAGGAGTAAAGAACAAGGCTGTTTCCCCCCCAGGGATGAAACAGGTGGTGGAGTGGAGATAGATGAAGTTGGTCAGTCTGTAGACTGCTGGTTAGTGAGATTGTATGCAGAGCTTTAAGGGGAGATCCAGTGGACTGGGTGAGCTGATACTAGAGCTTCACTCAGGGACCTGGAAGATGGAAGTCCAGTTGGATAACACAGGTTAAGAAAACCTGTCCATGATGAGCAAGCATGAAGCGACAGTAGAGAGGAAAAATTCCCCGTTGGGAAGAAACCTCTGGCAGAACCAGGCTCAACATGGCGGTCTTCTGCCGGACCAGTTAAGATGAGACAGGGAACGCAGTAAGAGTCTAGGAGGAATGACGCTCTGATGAAGCTTTAGCTACGATGGTGGAGGAGGGGCTGGAGGTGGGTTGAAACGGTGTCATTTGAATGAAGTCACACAGCGCATCCGCCGAATGCGCACAGAAGCAGACAAATGCGGATC